TTTGTCTCTCCCGTCCTTTTTCGTCCCTTTGGTCCTTTTTCGTCCCTCTCATCCTTTTTTGTCCTTATTATCCTTTGTCGTCCTTTTTCGTCCTCTTTCGTCCTTTTACGTCCTCTTTCATCCTTGTTCGTCCTTTTCGTCTTTTTTCTCTCTTATTATTCTTTTTCGTCCTTTTCGTCCTTTTTCGTAGTTTTTCGTCTTTTTTCGACCTTTTCGGTCCTTTTTCGTCCTTTATCGTCCATCTCGTCTTTTTTCGTCCTTATTATACTTTTTATCCTTTTTCGTCCTTTCTCGTCCTTTTCGTCCTTCGTCCTTTTTCATCCCTCTCGTTCTTTTTCGTCCTTTTTTCATCCTTCTTCTTATTCGTTCTTTTTTCGTCATTTTTGTCCTTCTTTCGTCCTTTTCATCCTTTCCCGTCCTTATGATCCTTTTTCGTCCTTTTTCGTCATTTTCGTCCTTTTTCTCCCTTTCTCGTCATTTTTCGTCCTTTTCCTACTTTTTCGTCCTTTTCGTCCTTTTTCGCTCTTTTTTTCGTTCATTCTTGTCCTTTCCCGTTCTTTTTCATCCTTATCCGTTCTTTTTTCGTCCTTGTCGTCCTTATTCGCCCCTCTCGTCCTTTTTCGTCCCTCTCGTCCATTTTCGTCCCTCTCTTCCTTTTTCGTCCCTCTCGTCCATTTTCGTCCCTCTCTTCCTTTTTCGTCCTTATTATCCTCTGTCGTCCTTTTTCGTCCTCTTTCGTCCTTTTCGTCTTTTTCGTCCGTTTTCGCCCTTTTACGTCCTTTTCGTCTTTTTTCTCTCTTATTACTCTTTCGTCCTTATCGTACTTTTTCTTAGTTTTTCGTCCTTTTTCGACCTTTTCGTCCTTTTTCGTCCTTTATCGTCCATCTCGTCCTTTTTCGTCCTTATTATCCTTTTTAGTCCTTTTTCATCCTTATTGTCCCGTTTCGTCTTTTTCGTCCTTTTTCGTCGTTATTATCCTTGTTGGTCCTTTTTTCGTCCTTTTTCGTTCTTATTTCGTGATTTTTCGTCCTTTTTCGTCCTTCATCGTCTTTTTTGGTCCTTTTTCGTCGTTATGATTCTCTTTTTTCCTTTTTCGTCCTTTTCGCCTTTTTTCGCCCTTATTATACTTTTTATCCTTTTTCGTCCTTTCTCGTCCTTTTCGTCCTTCGTCCTTTTTCATCCCTCTCGTCCTTTTTCGTCCTTTTCTCGTCATTTTTGTCCTTCTTTCGTCCTTTTCATCCTTTCCCGTCCTTATGATCCTTTTTCGTCATTTTGGTCCTTTTTCTTCCTTTGTCGTCATTTTTCGTCCTTTTCCTCCTTTTTTGTCCTTTTCGTCCTTTTTCGCTCTTTTCTCGTTCTTTCTTGTCCTTTTCGTCCTTATTATCCTTTTCGTCCTTATTATCTTTTTTCGTCCTTGTCGTCCTTATTCGTCCCTCTCGTCCTTTTTCGTCCCTCTCGTCCATTTTCGTCCCTCTCGTCCATTTTCGTCCCTCTCTTCCTTTTTCGTCCTTATTATCCTCTGTCGTCCTTTTTCGTCCTCTTTCGTCCTTTTCGTCCTTCTTCTTAGTTTTTCGTCCTTTTTCGACCTTTTCGTCCTTTTTCGTCCTTTATCGTCCATCTCGTCCTTTTTCATCCTTATTATCTTTTTTCGTCCTCTTCATCCTTTTTCATCCTTCTGATCCTTTTTCTTCCTTTTTCGTCTTTTTTCGTCTTTTTCGTCCATTGCCGTCCTTTTTCGTCTTCTAACGTAAGTTTTCGTCCTTACTATCCTTTTTCGTCATTTTTTGTCATTTTTCCTCCTTTTTATTTTTTATTTTTTATTTTATTAATTACGTCCCCCAACAGGCACCGAGGCCCAATTACAGGGGAACGGGACATACACGTTACACCCAGAGCCATGGCGGGAATCGAACCCACGACCCAAGGTGTAGCGGGCAAGCATGATGCTAACTAGCCCACCCCGGGTCCTTTTCGTCATTTTTCGTCCTTTTTCGTCCTTATTATCCTTTTTCGTACTCTTTCGTCCTTTTCGTTCTTGGCAAGGAAAAATTATAATGTATTTCGTTTACCCCCATACTATTGTCAATACAATCCAATAGAAATGGTGTGGGGGTTTGGCAAATCATATTGTATAGTAGCCTGCATAGATATTGTAGCCGTCCATAGAGTCGAAATTTGCGATTAAAAATAAAATAAAACTGGTTCAAACGGAGCCGACGGTGGCTTGCAAATTCTGACATCACTCTGGCACACGTTGCACAGAGACGTATTTAATATTAAATGTCATCTTTTCCGTTATGACATGTATAATCTGTTTCATTTCTTAGCTCAATCTCGTCAATAAAAACGAAGCTCTGTTCACTGTACACAAGTTGTGGTATGGTATATTCATCGTTGCGAAGGTAGGTGGAGCGAAAAACCTGGTCATCTTAGCAGCAAACACGGCTATAAACTAGTCGACGTGGACTGTTTGTTTCCTGTCATATTTCACTTTGCTTGAACCAATTGCGTTGCACTAAATGGTTATTACACTTGTTGAAATATATTTTCAAACTTCCATCTTTCTCTAGATCGTCGGTTTCGTAGCTGTGTGACAAATCGTTTGTCGTAGATAGAAAATAGTAAGCTTACAGTGACCCTAAGATTTTGTGCAATCGGCCTTAAATACACCCCTGTGTGATGCGACGCGTGCCGTTGTGACAGAACTTGCAAGCCGTTGTCGGCTCCGTTTGAGCCGGTTTTATTTTATTTTTATTCGCAAATTTCGACTCTATGGACGGCTACAATATCTATGCAGGCTACTATAACAAACATGTTCGTGCACGAGCTCCCACCAAAGACAGAGTGTCTAATTTGTGGAGAGAAGCCTTGGACGCAAGACATGTGGATGAAAAGTGTTAGGCACTGTGAAGATCTTATTAAAGCTGATTCGAAAAAGCTAATGGGGGATTTTTCTGTTGACGATATGCCACCATTTATTATATCCTTGGCTGATTCTGACAGACGAATCTTTTGTTAGTACCACCTAATGATTCGAAAAATAACTAAAATGTCTATTGTCTTCCTCAAAAGCTACGAATAGTGAATGATTTGTACGACGATAATAGCAGCGAAAATGATCAGACTATTGAAACAATAGTTATCGAATTAATACATTGATTTTTTTTCTTGTAGTTGTTTACCTAGATGTTATTTGTTTCATCTGCGTTTTTACAGTTATTATGTTGTACTTAAATTTAACAGAAAATGATAAAGTGAAGAAACCACGTTCTGTACAATCTTTTGCTTCTGCACCTTTCGTAATCGCCATACTGACACTTGTTGTTATTTTGACATAAATGGCACTATATCCGTACTTTAGTGACATTACACGATAACAAAATTTTTCAAGACAACATTACAACGCTAAATAATTAAATTAGTTGACCTTGAAAAGCTCGACCCATGGTGAATTAACTTTACTTATGATGAAAACTAGAGATGGGAATTATCGTTACTTTGGTGTACTCGTACGTATTCGTTACTTTTTAAAAAAGTAATCGTTATTTATAATCGTTACTTCGGGTATTGATTACTCAATGGAACTCGCTTTGGTATGGATTTATTGCGGTATGAAAATATCTAATAATTTCTGGAATAATACAAACAATATATTTAAATCATAAAAAAAATATAAAAATAAATCAAATAATATTACATAGAATAAAAAAAAAACAAAAAACTTACTTTATAAATGTATTATTATTTAGTAACTTTGGTTACTTCATTAAATTTTTGTCTGAGAGTAATCAAGCGTTAGGCCCGAAGTCACAAAAGGCCGCATTATTTTTAACTTATTTCTTTTTCTATATTCAACATTCAACTCAACTTGAAAGCGAAGTGTTAGTAAATAAAAGTAAGGGTATTTGATATATAGGAGGTCGGTAATTCTCGGTATTTCGGCAATCGATTCTTGATTCCTTAGTATTTGAATCCAGAATGCATACTCGAAATCACGAAATGGTCAGTAATCATTGACGAATAGTAACGATTACTTTTCAATTTCGAGACTCGGTAGTTCGGGTCTCATCGTGTACCGAATACTTTGTAACGAATAGTTACTACCCGTCCCACCTCTAATCAAAACTGAGTTGCATAACGTCAACAATAGTGTGTGCATCCGATGAACGAATTTTTCTATTTTTTTTAATAACATGACATAAGTGACATTGGCCTTTTTTATTTTGGAATCACAAATTTCTGTCGTACCAACTGAGGAATAACGAATAACCATCAAGGTACCAACCGAGCACCAACAGAGGAATCAGAGGATAGATTAGAATGATTAGATAGGCGAAAACGGGCGAACTACTCTTTCATGCCACGAGTACAAGTTACCATACGTCGGAACACATTTATTCAAGAAAGCCCCGTCGAAAATGTTTTCTTCCGATTTTAAGGTTTGTAACGAAAGGACCCCCTGACACATAACCGTACACGAACATAACCACACTTATTTCAGGTAAAAAAATCTCGTATAATCGCTGCCGTCCTCCATAAACAAGTGGAAATCCTTAAAGAGCTTCTCGATTCTCCGAAGTGTTACAGAGTTCGAGATAAAGACGGTTACAATTTACTGCAACTAGCAATTCTTCAAAACAAGTATGTCAAGTGAGAAAATTCATAAATAGCTAAGTCCACCTTTTCTAGGATTGAAGTCTTTGACTATTTGCTATCCATACCGGATTTTCCTGTAGACTTTGTGAACGAAAAAGGTCAAACAGCGTTGGTTTTTGCACTTAATCGTAGTTGCCCTTATGATTTGAGTGAGCACTTTTCATATGAACTAATCAAAAAGGGTGCCTGCATTGATAAAGTTTGTTCTAAAGGGAATACACTCTTGCATTTTGCCATAGACTCTTGTTGGTATAAAACAGCTAAGCTACTTATACAAAGGGGGGCTGATGTTAATGCTGCCAACTGTTACGGTTATACCCCTATTCACTACCTACACTTTTCAGATGACAATATAAACGAGATAGTAACGACTCTGTTGGCGTATGGAGCACGACCTACAGTCGACAATTTTGAATATTCAATTCTAGACAAGTGCTCTTTTGAAGTACAAGAAACTCTGTGTCTGCACATTTTTGACCAGTACTCAAACGTGGAGTTGCCCCTGGATCTGTTACTAAAACTTGCTAAGATGAAATCTCCGCTTTTCTACCAGATTATTGAATGCCCTATTAAAGTAAAAGTTAAGTGTGCTGATATATGCTTGTACTTTCGCATATTGTCATCCATAAGCGTTGACTGTCTGCATCTCATCATCAAAAAATTTGGTCACCATATAAATAGGGTATTGTCAAGCGGATTTTCAGATGTTATTTCCACGCGCCGTTACCGGATGCCAATTTTTTTGAAAAATTTAGATGTGATGCTTACAAGCGAATTACAACCATCTGTGATCTCTTTTATAAATATTGAAAATAGTAGCAACATACTTATGGATTTCATCATGAGTAGATATGATAAAACAACCATAACTCAATTCTACTGTTATTTATTAAGTTATGGTTTGAATGTTCAAGAGTTAGATTTGCATTATATATACGATTTGTATGGTTATTGCGACTTGTTTAAAATTCTATTGCATATGGACATACATATGTCTCTTCCAAAAGGAGACATTAGAAGTGTGGTACCTCATCTGGTGTATGATATTAATATGGATGTAGAGCGTTTTCTTCACGAGGTGTGTTGTCGTGGAAAATCCAAGAGCGTGTTTATGTTACGACGTTATTTCGCCCGTCCTGAATTTAGTAAACATTGTTCCGACGACGTTGAAACGTTGGATTTTGCAGCAAAACAACGTTGTTTAGAAATACCCCTGTTAGTAGAGCTAGCGCGCAATGTTTTTAGGCAGTTTTTTATAGACAAGTTTAAAATTAAAACGTGCAAAGAGTTTTACACGAGACTTAATTTTTTACCAATTAGCAACACATACAAAAAGATTATTACGTATGAAACGAAGTTGTATTAAAAATGTTCGTATAAATACGTTTCTATTTTTGTTACTTATAAGTGAAAGTTGTTTGTCGTTCGTTTTATAAAGTCGTTTTTACATGAAAATAAATGGTGCTGTTAGTACATGTGTTTGAATTATGAATACACAAAATTATGCAACCCACAATGCAAATGTCCTTGGCGTTTGTAAACTCAAATCCATAAGGTTGTAACCACTCCCTAGTGTAAATTTTTAAAAATTATTCAGTGTAAATCTGTCTTTTAATAACCTGGTGACATATTTGGTGACCTGTCAATATAATGTCAGTTCATTCATGTACTCGCGACACATGATTACGTTCGACTTCACTGCAATTCTTGCACTCCTGCACAGGTTATTTCATAATTATCATTGTAACTTGTCGCAATATTGTAAAAACTGATAAACAATTTTCAATAAAAACAGGATAACCTGAGTCTTCATGGTAATTATAATACAAGAGCAACGATAAATAGAAACGTGTTTTATCTTTCATCTGTAGAAAGAATGCCACCTGCTGTAATTTAGACTTGCAGTCGATACGTTTACGAATTACGATAAAATGAACCCAAAAATATTGTGGTCACGAATGAAATCAAATATTGGGCTGGTAAAAAAACAAGGTGAATTGATTTATTTATTGTTGCTGCTTCATAAAAATTACTTTACAGATGGGGAATAACTGAGATATTCAGAATTTGTTTAAATTATTGTACATGAGTATACGTGATAATTATATGTGTGGCTAACTATGACTCGAAGGATCAGCTCTCTCGACTGAAATGATCAATCTCGCGAGCAACACCAAAATTGTCTATAATGGGTAGATCACCTTAATTAGTTGCAATGGATGACCAATTTTTCATCAAAAAAATGGGACACCAACAAGTCTTTAATGTTATGTTTAATAACTCTAATATTTGGTACTACTTATTATTTACAAAATGTACAAGGGATTTGGTTGAAGGCGATAGGTCTGGCTATGCTCCTCCGTCCTGACGATTTTAGTGGTAATAATGAACAAAATGTAACTTCACAAAATTCAGAGGCTAAAATAATAGGTATGTTGAAAATAATTTGACGGCTTATTTAAACTTACTGTTACAGGAGTGGTTAGAAACATTGGGAACACATAGACCAAATAACCAAAAAGCAATTATTTTTCTGTTGTTAACTTTCTTAAATCTGAATCCCATGGATTTTAATACTCAACGTAAAGTATTTAAACTTGCTGTATATTCTGGATGTTCTTTCGCAAAAATAAACAAATCCTGAAGAGTAAAAAACTCATTTTTTTTGTTTTTGTCAAATATACGGTAGGTTAGATCTTCTTTAAGTTCCAAATTTGAATACCACTGCGATTTTTGTTTTGGTTTCCACTTTGCTTCTTGTAACGGTTCTCCAGATTGGTGTTGGGTTATAATTTTGTGGGCTTGACATCGAGAACACTATGGAAAGGATAGGAATTAATGATAAGTTTACAGGGAAAGTATGCAGTGCTTGAATTTAATGAGGGACATTTAGTTGTATTGTGTAGGATATAAAGAGTGGGTATAAAACTTGAAAAGACAATGTTGTACTAAAAAGCGAGATATACACTTTCAACTTGAGATAGTTAAAACTAAAAGTCCTTCGACATACCACCATGTTGTAATAACATGAAAAAAGTTCCGAATGTCGATACGTTACTCTCATAGTATAGTACTCTCTTTCCATGGTATAAGAATAACTACATACTGAAAAGATTTTTACAAGCTTGAATTCAAGTTCTCGGGAGGATGCTTGGGGATAAGCAAGTTTCAATTCATTGTGGCAGTTGGCAAGTGCCATTTTCATCTGCTTATTTACCACAATATGCCGTGTCGGTACCATTTTTCAATGGTATGGTTTAATAACAAACTGTGAGATATTTAAATAAAACTCTCTCGTGCGTAATTGTCAAATTTTGACATATGCGCCGCTACCAATCTGTTCATGTGAAAAACACCATTGGCTGTAATGCCAACCTTACAATTTAACGAGTGGTTACAACCTTATGGATTTAACTGTACTACATGCAATGATAAACACAAGTGGAGAAAGACAACGACAAAATTTTGTCTTCAAGGAATAGTATTTTTTGAGTGAATTATATTTTGAAGGACTCGTATTACAGATTAGTTCGTCTTATGTTGTCTATGAAATTGTCGGTTACCTATATACAAATTGTATTTTTTAAGTCGGGTAATAAAAACTTCCACATATTTGCTTTTATCAACTGATACATTTATTATTATAATGCGAAATTAAAAAAGACTTTCAGTGTCTACGACAACAAAACTTTCATATTCTAAGTGTGGCAATAATGACACTGCAGTACCACAGTATACCATACAGTAAAGACAGCTCGTCAAATATTGGAACAACGTGTCCTTACCCAACCGTTTTGATTAGGCGGGATTTTTGAAACGAAGTGGAATATTGGTTGCCTAAATTACAAATAGAGCTCGTCCGTAAAACAATGTAAAAGGAACTGATATAAACATCGAATGAACTGAAACCAATTTTTGGAGTGTGGTATGAAGACTACGAAAAAATACCATTTTGAACAATAAAAACGAATTGTGCTTATATTTATTTTAATCATTAATAAAAGTCATCACTTTACCAAGTTAATTTCAAAATAAACATATCAACTACCTATTTTGTCAATGCCTTCAATTTTCGCCAAGTGTGAACCGTTTGAAGAGTCAGAAAGTGAACGCTGTTGTTTTCATCTTCCCTGGGTAAAGTACTTTGATGTTTTTGGTTGAATTTTTGTTGTTAGTTAAATTAGTGAAGTGATTCTGAGAACCTTTTCATAGTAACATGGACTACAGTGGTAGACCACCTCGTGATTGCAGGCACAATGAAAAAACCTGCTTCAGGGGCTTCTTTAAATTTCCCTTGGAATCTGTAAGATAAGAAATATAAAGAAGTATATTATTCTATAATCAATAAAAAATTACTTGGTATCCAATTTTTACAGCACAGTGAAAATGCCAATAGTTGTAATGATTTAGGATCTATTTTACTAGCAATTGAATCTAAAGAAAGTAACCAGTGTCAAATTATTAATACAGTTTTAAGCTGAACAACTTTTGCACATAAATATGTGGAAGTAAATATGACAGACTACAGACATCTGGACATGGGGGAACAAAATTCTTTAAGTTATATCTGTGGATACTTAATGAAGAAATGCTTGATGAAATATACTTGTGAAACATGTAGTTATTGTGCCGTTGCACGTAATGTCATCATATATGATAAACTTCTCTGTCACTTTGTTGTGGATCGGAGCGGAATAAAACTACTTTCTTGAAGAACTACTAAATTTTAATGGTGCTCGACGAAAATACAATATTGGACTGTCCTTTCTGATGGGAATCAGCCGTTTTTAAATATGTTGATAATGGAGAATGTTAATTTATGTGCGTATTTAAAGTGCGAAAAATAAAAGGCCAACGATGTTAACACTAGCGAAGGTATTTATTAACTGACTTAGATATGTACAATATGTGAAAACTAACTTAGTAAAAAAAGGTCTCGACATCTGGACGTCGATTTGCCGTGAAACGCCGACAAAGACAAAAGGGTCCAGACTTTCAACCACACAAGTGTCGCACCGGTACTGGGCCAGAGCGTATCTAATTCTGACATATTGCAACAGAGAACTGTTTACAGTTCTCATGGAAAATGCAATTAAGTATTAGTATTTACAAAAGAGTATACATTCCGATAATTTCGGGTGTACGCATATTAATATTATTTATAAAGGAAATTATGCTAATACATACTTAATATAACAATACATACAAATACGAGTATTAGTCACGTTGCTATACGTAACAACTTCAACGCCTTTGATGATGATCCACCATTTTGGTAATCCTAAAGCTGGCCATTCATGTTCCAACGTCCCAGTACGATTGTATTGGATGCAACTGTTGTACAATTCTGTTAAAAAGCAGCAGTACACACACGTTACGACCTTGCAGTTAAAAATTTGCGATCGTGATGACAACATGTCTAACGAAATGAAGAAAATGTACTTTTATAGCTGCTCTCACGGTTTGAATAATATACACTGTTGAGTCATGTCCACACAAGATCAAATTTACATCCAACCAATTTGCTTGATCGCATACACAGACGTTCAAAAATACTTCAATTTTTCGATTTGTTAATTTTTCATTCTCGATTTATCGAGATTTGATTGTTCAGGTTTTCGATTTATCAGTTTTTCAATTTTTTATTTTGGCCCATTTAGGTTTCTCAGTTTTTACAGTTTTCCATTTTTGCGTTTTTTTATTTTTCTGCTTTTCCTGGTTTTTTAACTTTTAACTTTTTGATCTTTTAATCTCTCAATTTTTAATTTTTCGAATTTTTAAGTTTTTTGATTTCTCGATTTATTGAGATTTGGATTTTTCGATATTTTGATTGTCAATTTCTCAATTTATAAATTGTTCATTTTTGAACTTTTCGAATTTTCGATTTTGACCTATTTCGGTTTCTTAATTGTTCGACTTCACGATTTCTTATTCTTTTGATTTTTCGATTTTCCAGTTTTTCGATGTTTCGATTTTTCAGTTATCCGATTTTTTAAATTTTGGAGTTTCGATTTCTCGATTTTTCGTTATTCGGTTTTTAAATTTTAGGTTTTTGAATTTTACATTTTTTCGATTTTCTGACATTTCATTTTTCGATTTTCAGTTCTTTGATATTTCGATTTTTTAATGTTTCGGTTTTACGATTTTTTAAGGTTTCGATTTTTCGATTATTTTAATTTTTCTTTTCTTTTTCTTACTGTTAATATCATACAGTGTATCGAAAACAACCACAAAAATTGTCACTAAAAACATTTAAAAATTCATACAAAATAAAACACAGTGTTTCCAAAACATTTTCCCGAAAAAAATCCATTGGGTTATTACGATTTCAACAATATTCTTAGTTTAAGACGTTTTGCTAATATAAAACACAAATAAAGAATTAATTCTTAGTTAAACAAAATATGTAAAATCAATGTACCAAAAATATTCACTTAGTCGTTATAAAAACCGACCAAACAACTATTTCCCGCAGAAATTTGGCACTGGTCTTTGGCGGTTGAGGACTCCAATATCAATAAGGGTGGTTTTGCATATATTAACGAGAAATATAAAAAAGTATTATTTTACTGTTGGCAACAATGCCCAATTGGTACACGGCTCTTGATAATCATTGATTTATTAATTATACTAGCGTTTTTTTATACACGGGGCTAATATTTGATAAGATAAGACTGATTTTGCACTTTTGACATTTTCGACCAATTTTCAACTATTTTCGAAAATTAGTTGAATACACTAACTTCCTTCTAGATTTCGATATTCAGAAATCATTTTCAGCTTCGTTTCTTCGATAACAAGCCCCGCCCACCCACCCTGTCTCTGTTTCAGTGATTAATTTTATGGGATCTGTTGAAATAAAATTAGTCCTTAGAAAAAAACAGGGTGGGTGGGTGGGGCTGGTATTTGATAAGATAGCTAATTTAGCACTTGTGACATTCTCGACCATTCTTCAACTATTTTCTAAAATTACCTAAAAATATTTTCATGTAGATTTTGATATCCAGAAGTCATTTTCGGTTTCGTTTCTTCGGAAATTCCTACCGTTTTTTCCATCAAAATCGCTAGATATAAAATTATTATTGATTTTTATTAATTTTTGTTTCAGAAAATAAGTACAATTATTTTAAGAATGTAGTTTGTGGTTTTTATAGGTATTTTCACAGAAATGTTTAAAATTTGTTTGTTTCTTTGAGACAATTGAGAAGTCAGGTCACGTTAGGTCAAGCCAGGTGAGGTGCATGATACATATAAGAAATAAATTTTGTAACAAATAATATAACAAAAAATAAATACGATTAGCGTTTTTTTTTTTACTTTTTTCATTAGAATATTCTAGATTTTATTATTAGTTTCCAGTCTCACTCAACAGAAGAACATAACTAGCCCCGCCCACCCACCCTGCCTCTTTTTCAGTGAATGATTTTATCCGGTCTGAATCAAATACATGATCTTATACTTAACACAAGTAAAATTAGTCCTTAGAATTAGAAGAGGGAGGGTGGCTAGTACTTACTAAGATAAGGCTGATTTTGGCAAATCAAATACCTTCCAAAAAAACAGAGGGTGGGTGGGCGGGGCTAATACTTGATAAGATAAAACTGATTTTGGCACTTTTGACATTTTCGGCTATTTTTCTAACTAGAAGAGGTTAGATCACGGTAGGTCAAATCAGGTCAGATGCATGAAATAAGAAATAAATTTATGTATATAACAGAAACTTTTGTTTTCCATTTAAGAAAAATGTTTAAACATTTTCCAATATTTTTAGGGATATTTAACTTGTCACCACTTGTCACTCATATTAAGTTGGCTAGACAATTTAGAATTTTAGACATCTAACCTATAATTTAAATGCTGATTTCGACAATTATGAAAAAAACACTTACAATTAAAAAGATATTACGTAGTTAACGATAATTACTTCAAAAGTTACTCATAATGTGATATTAGACATAATTTAAATATAAATGCCAACCAAAGTTCTACTAAAAACATTTCGAAGTGTGGCGAAATTCAGGGAAACCCGCTCGAATATGTCTTCTTCAGACTCTCAGGTTTCTGTTAACTTTGTCGAATACTAAAACATAATCCAAATCTTCCCCTAGATTAAAAAAAAAGATCGTTTAATCGCCGCCGCCAAGCAGAATCAAGTGAGCGTCCTCAGCGTCCTCCTTGATTCTCCCAGATGGTACAACGTTCGAGACTATTGGGGTAACAGTTTACTGCAGGTCGCAATTCTTAGAGACAAGTATGTAGCTTGCGAAAATTTACAAATAGCCAAGTGCATGTTTTTTAGCATCGAAGTCTTCGATTATATGTTATCCATACCAGATTTTCCACTCGAGTTTGTCAACAAAGAAGGCCAAACAGCGTTGGTAGTTGCACTTGAATGTTATGTGGGCAACGGTGCTTGGATGAAGGAGCATTTTGCGTATGAACTAATCAAAAAAGGTGCCTGCATTGATAAAGTTTGTGTCCAAGGGGATACACCATACCACCGTACCTTAGATCGTGGTTACTATAGAGCAGCTAAGCTCCTTATAGAACAGGGGGCTGATGTTAATGCTCCCGATTCGGAAGATGACACCCCTCTTACCAGAACCTTGCTCAAAGGTACAAGTGAACTAATAATGACTCTGTTGGTGTATGGAGCACAACCTACGGTCCTTAACTTTGAACAATCTGTTTTATATAATAATTCTTTTGAAGTACAAGAAACTCTATTTTTGTATATTTATGATGAGTACTCGAACTTGGAGTTGCGCCTGGAAGTATTGCTAAAACTTGCTGAGGCGAAATCGCCACTATTCTACCACATTATTGAATGCCCTATTAAAATAAAAATTCAGAATGAGTCTTTAAATTTCTACTTTCGCTTTTTGTGTTCCATAAGCATTGATTGTCTGCATCTCATTATTCAAAAATTTGGTCACTATATGAATAAGGTGTTTTTAACAAAAATATTTTCAGTAACTTATTCCTGCGATAGCAAGGGCAAGGTTATTTGTTTAGAAAACTTAAATGTGATGCTTGAAAGCGTATTAAGACCAAGTGTGATGGTTTTTATTAATAATATCAATACTATTTGGGTATTTGAGGATTTGAGAGAACTTGGGTATAAGGAAACTGCCATAACTCAAATCTACTGTTATTTATTAAGTTACGGCGTGAATATTGGAGAGTTAGATTTGCAAATTATATATAGAGCATTCGGTCACTGCGAATTGTTTAAAATTCTTTTGCACATGGACATACAGAAGGGCGTTATTCTAAAAAGTTCCGTAAAAGGGGCGATGCCTGCTTTCGTGTATGATATTAATATGAATTTAGAACGTTTCTTCCGACAACAGAGTAGTTATAATGTGCATAGTGCGTATCGATTACGACGTTATTTCGCCCATCCGAAATTAAATGAACTTTGTTACCAGACTGATCAAATGTTTCGGTACTGTAATTCAGCAGTACAGAGCTTTCCAGAAATTCCTCTGTTGATGGAACTAGCGCGAAATGTTTTTAGGGAATATTTTGTAAACAAATTTAACATTAAAACGTACAAAGAGTTTTACTCGAGACTCAATGGCCTACCAATTAGTAAGATACATAAAAAGATTATTACATATGAAACAGAATTGTATTAATATATAGTTATTTATATGTCAAGGGAGCAAAGTGAAACATTTCCTCCCGCTACGCGTCAGGCCTCAAGAATCCGAGGGAGGAATTGGCACTTTGCTCAAGTGATATGTATATATAATTTTTTCTTCGAACGAACGTTTAAAATCAATTTTATAAAATTCAAACAAATAAAAAATTAATCGCATTTGAACAAAACGTCTCGTGAATTGTAGTTTTGTGTTCCTTAAAACGCATTAACAAAAACTAACAATTATTAAAAAAATGGGTATCAATTCGACAGAATTTGAACCGTTAGTTCAGGACTTTGCCGATAGGAGCGCCACTACAATTTACGGAAGCGATTTTCCAAGTAAAACCCATTTTTTTCAATAATTGTTAGTTTTTGTTAAAAACTCTGCCAAGCAATATATCATTAATTTTCCTCTGATATTCCTGTTAAAATTATTCAACGTATTTTGCATTAATTTGTGGTATATTTTGATTTTAATAAATACATTATTATTTAAATAAATTGTACCACTAACAAACATTTAATGACTCAGCGGCCTGTAAAAAGTGATGCTTTGTCAATGTCAGAATTTTCAAGCGATTCTATGATGGTTATGACTCAAAAAACTTGAAAATAAAACATACAATGGTGCTTTTTTACGATATTTCTCAGCCATATTTTTTTAATTTATTGAACTGGTCTCTGTGGTCTAGAATATGAAAAAAACTGCAGTTTGATGTATGATACATCTATATTAATATCATTTTTTCATACAAAAAACCAAAAAAATGTTATACCTCGTCTAGCGAGTCCCCTTAAAAGGTTTTCTTCAAAAGCGCCAGCTGTTTTGACGGTAAATCTTATCATCACACAATATGAAAAGCGGGCCCTAGCTTTTTCATATAATCGCAGTAGAACATGGCATTTTAATGAGATTTTAGTAATAAAGACTCTACCAGCACCAGCAACATAACCTAATAAAATATTTTGTGCAGTTTGTGCATTTATTCCGTTTAAATTGACCTACAATAATCGTCATATTGGATAAAATAATTCAATTTGAGTCGTTCAGTGATTACTGAGTGAGGCAGCACGAGTTTGACGGGCTCCTAGGACATGTCACAATGTTGCCGATGGGGTTTTGAGGAAGACCAGCTGCTCGAAGTCTTCATCTCTGGCTTTTTGGCTACGGCGTGAGTGTAGTTCGAGATGGCTCGCTTCGACGGGGTCGCGCAGTTTGAGTTGTTCGTTGATTTCTGAAAATAATTTCTAATTTCACTTTGACATGTGGATTTGCATGCTTAATCCAAAGACGCGATCGCTGAACTTCGACAGTGTGACCATTGTTTAAGTATATTATAGTTGGACAACCTATACGGACAATCACTTTCCCATGTAGAAAAGAATGAATATATATTTTACATATCACTCGCTTCACTATCAAGTGGCGGTACCTTACGAAAGGGGGTAAAAATAGTCCGTACGCACGTGATGTCGATAAGGTAGTAAACGGACGTATTAATCAGTACGTTGTACGGGGAGCAGTCACAAAATAAGCAAACGTAGGTGTTGAAGACTTTACTGTAATATATGTATATGTAGTGCATACCTGTTTCAAGGTTAAGGTAACAAAAATTTAATATCATCGCGGTATACCTATTATCCATGAACTGCATGGCTAACAAATATGCGTCCCTTCGTCCACTTTAAAGGTATACGAAATTAAACGACCATTACTTTAATTAATAAGTAACAAGTCATTTAATTTGCCTTCAGAATAACTATGGATTATCATCAAACTATGAACACCAACTTAATTCAATATGAACATCTTCTTACGTATTTTTTTTATTAACAGTAGTCAAGTCATTAAATACATATTAGCTTTGAAACTAAAATGCATTTTATCCTAAGATTGTATCACAAAATATACATCACCATTTAAATATATACGATTTAGACATCAAGGAATAAATTTAAAATTGTAAAAATTATACTAAAACAGCCTTAAATGTGTCTTGTATGTACGTGCTTATCAGTATGTAGGCATTTTAACGCACAGCAATAATAATCGTTCTTGATGAGTAATGACTGATGACTTCTGTAACAAAGTAAATCCTCGAAATCGAAAATTTAAAACACTGAAAAATTCAAATATGGGAAAATTGTAAAATCGAGAAATCGAAACATAAAAAAATCAAAAAAATTAAAATTGGAAAATCTAAAATTTAAAAATCGCGAAATTGAACAATCCGTTAATTCAAAAATCGAAACATCGAAAAATTGGAAAATCGAAAAATAAAAAAAAATTGGACAATCGAAAATTCAAAAATTCCGAAAATTGAAAAATTGAAATACAGAGAACTGAAAACTCAAAAAATCGAAAAAAATTAATAATTTCAAAAATTGAAAAGTTACAATTGAGAAATCGAAAAACTGAAAAATCACAAAATTGAACGAAATATCAAAAAATTAGGAAATTAAAAAATTGAGAAACAAAAAAGTCGAAAAAGCAGAGTCTAAAAATCGCAAACTTAAAAAATTGAAAAATTGAAAAATCAAAAACCTGAATAATCGAAAAATTGAAGAACTGAAGAACTGAAAAATCGAAACTTTAGGAAGTGGAGAAATGGGAATATAAAAAAATAGATTAATTGAGAAATCCGAAAACTAAAAATTCAGAAACGTCAAAATTTGAAAAATAAAAAAATATTGAAGAACTAAAAAATCGAAAAATCTAAAATTTAAAACATTGAAAAGTTAAAATATCCTAAAACTGAAAAATGGAGAAATCCAAACATCAAAAAATCAAAAATAAAAATAAAAATCTAAAATTTAATAATCGAAAAACTGAAAAATCAACGAATCGAGAAGTCGAGAATTTAAAAAATTGGACAATTGAAAAATCGGATAAATCAAGAATCGAAACATCGAAAAATCGAAACATTGTAAAATTCAAAAATTGAGACATCGAGAAATCGAAAAATCAAAAGACAAAAAAAAATCGAGGAGTCGAAAAATCGAGAAGTCGAAAAATCAAAAAATTGAGAAACCGAAGTAGGCCAAAATCGAAAACTTAAATATGGAAAAATTGATAAAGCGAGAGATTGAATAATCAAAACATCGAAACATCCGAATCTCAATGAATTGAGATCTCAAAAAATTTAAACATTCGTAAATTTAAAAAATTAAACTATGGAACTGGAAACTCGAGAAACTGAAAAATCTAGAAATTTAAAAATTAAAATATGAAAAAGTTGAAAAATTAAGAAATTGAAATAAAAAACAAAAACTGAAAATCCAAAAATAAAAAATAGAAAAATCTAGAAGTCGAAAAATGAAAGAATCGAAGTATTGAAAAATATCAAAACTGAAAGAAATATCCAAAAATTGAGAAATCGACAAACCAATAAAGCGAAGTCGAAAAATCGAAGAACTGAAGAACTGAAAAATCGAAACTTTGAGAAGTGGGAAAATCAAAAATAGATTAATTGAGAAATCAGAAAACTGAAAATTTAGCGCAAAAATTTGAAAAATTCAAAAATTTAAATACTGAAGAACTGAAAAGTCAAAAAATCGAGAAATCGAAAAAACTAAAATTTAAAACAATGAATAATTAAAATATCGCAAAATTGAAGAATCGAGAGATCCAATTCAATTTGAAAAATTGAAAAATCGGGGCATTGAAAAATTGGAAAATCCAGAAATTGAAAAGCTCAAAAGAAAAAAATCGAAAAACCGAGAAATCCAAAAATCGAAACATCGAAAAACTCAAAAACTGAGACTTCGAGAAATCGAAAAATCGGAGGATCGAGAAATTGAGGAGTCGGAAGCCGAAAAGGAAAGTTAAAAATTGAAAAATTAAGAAATTGAACAATCAAAACAACGAAACATCTGAATTCGATAAATTGAGAAATTAAAAAATTGAATAATCGAAAAATTTTAAAAAAGAAAAACTGGAAAATCAAAAATTAAAATTCAAAAAATCGAAAAATTGAAAAATTGAAATATAGAAGAACTGAAAACTCGAGATATCGAAAAACCTAGAATTTTAAAAAATGAAATATTAAAACATCGAAAAGTTTAAAAATTGAAAAATCGAAACATTAAACAGTCTCAGAATTGAAAAATCTAAAGTTTACAATAAATTGAAAATCCAAAAAGGAAAAAAGCGAGAAATCAAAAAAAATCCATCAATTCAAAAATCGAAAAGTCGAAAAATTGAAATATTGAAAAATTTCATAACTGAAAGAAATATTCAAAAAATTGAGAAATTAAAAAATTGGAAAATTGAGAAATCGAAAATCTAAAAAAACAAAATTGGAAAATCGTAATCTTAAAAAATCGAAAAAGTGAGGAATTGAAGATGTGAAAAATCGAAACTTTAGGAAATCCAGAAATGGACAAATAAAAAAAATACTTTAGAAATCGGCAAACTGAAAATTTAGAAACGTGAAAATTTGAAAAATTGAAAAATCGAAATATTTAAAAACCGTAAAATTGAAGAGGACAAAAATTGAGAAATCGTATCATTGAAACATCGTAAGATTGAGAAATCGAAAAATAAAAAAATCGAGAAATAGAAAATTTAAGGAATGGAGGAATCGGAAAAGCCCAAAATTGAAATATTGAAAAATTGAGACATTTAAAGTTGAATAATCGAGAAATCGACAAACCGAAAAATCCCAATAGCGTATTTAGGTATCAGATCACTACTACTTTTTAAAATTTAAATACATAACATTATAAATTGGAAAATGTTGATTTTTTTTTTCCAAAAATCTTGACGTCTAAGGTGAAAACTCGACACGGATGCATAAACCGTAAACGGGGCGAAACTACAATTTTACTATTGTAAAATTTGGAGATTGCGTCATTTCATTGTTCGTGACAAATTTTGGAGAGTGTAATTTGATAATACAATTTGAAATGTAAATTTTGTTATTCGGGAACATTATGTATTAAATCGTTAAGATGTTCAAGAACTTTGTTCACTTATTCGTTGTAAAGTCCAATGGTCGAAATGGGTTAGTTCTTCGTAGTGGATGTGTATCACATTAACTATAACGAATATCGGTTTATAGATAAATCGCTTAAAGCCGATATTGGCCTGAGTGTGCTTTAGTCTGTAGATCAAACAAGTTCTCAGGCATGTGGAGGGAGACTTCGGATTACAAATCGTGCCAAGAAAGACATATTTGGGAGAGATGGATTTTC